TTTTATTGAAATAGAAGAGGAGATATCATGGCAAGTGATTGTATCGAAATTGAGAAAATAAGATGAAGTTAGCGGCGAGAGGTAAGTAGGAGATTAGGGTAAGTTAGTTTTAAGTTTTTTTTTCTTTTTTATTTAAGTAAAAATTATATAAATAAAGAACGACAAAATCGGAATTTTAGGTAAACTAATTGTTAGTTACTATATTATGTTTTGGTTAATGCTAGATAATGAATTATACATGGAAAACCTAATATAGAGACTAATTTCTCAATATATATTAGATAACTTTTTAAACAAATGTTTCAAAAAAAAATATATTAGTTATTATGTTTTGTACTATGCGGTATAAATTTATTCAAAATGATGATTTCCTTGCATACATATTCAAATTGTCAAATACTTTTGATGTTTTGATATTTTGGTTATAGTTAAATAATACTTTTTTATTATAATCAGCAATTCTTCAAATGAGAAATGACTGATGCTAAAGATTAAGAAAATATTTTAAAAAGATCTAAATTACACGGAGTATTAGTCCGACTAATCATTATCTTAAAAGTCACGACTAAACTTTAAATTAATAATCAAGTTTAACTTCTTCTTTTTTTTATTACTAACTAGAAATTTGGTCCACGCATGCGCGGGTTGTATAAAATTATTAACCTTTTTTACATAAATTCGGGTGATTTAAATACTTTTGAGTGTGACCAAAAAAAAGAAAAAAACTTTTGAGTATCTTTGGAGTGTTCTTTTAATACCGGATTTTCGGTTAATTCGAATAGATTCGAATATTATCAGATACTTTTAGTAGTTTGGTAGTTTTTCTGGAGTTTCTTTTGTAGTTTCAGATATTGGGTACAATCCAAACCCGAACTAAACTCAACCCGGAAATAAACATGAACATGACTTATAGACTTGGTACTGAAAAGCCGAAAAATCCGAACCAAATCCTAACTGGTACCAAACACCATTAACATAAAAAAATTACATCCATTAAAAGAAAAAAATTGTGTATGACCAAAAAATACGATATCTCTCCGAGTTACCATCGTAAAAAGATGTTAAGTTTTTTATATTTCTTTCTTAAAACTTTGTGTTTGATCAAAAGAATGAAACTGTACACTCACTCATAATCAGTGACACATCGTTTCCTCTCTCCATCATCAACACCACATGAAATGAACTCATCTTTTAAAATATACTAGGTGAATACCCGCGCGTATGCGCGAGTTTGTTTCATTCATTATTTTTTTTGCGAATTCATATTTTATACTACAATCGAGTAAACTATAATTTGATAACATAGAAAACCTTCTCATTAAATTAGAAATCAGTCTCACATTTTTTTTTTCGAAAAAAAGTCTCACAAATTTTAAAATCAAGATCAAATCTTCATTCATTAGCTCAAAACGAATGCTACAAATTGGAGATATTCTATTATAAATTGGAGAGTC